TATTTCTCTTTCTCTTATATATATATATATATATATATATATATATATATATATATATTCCCTTATGCTATACTTTAATGCAAGTATGTTAAATTAAAGTAAGAAAAATCTGAAGTAGCCTACATAAAAACAATAACAAATAATGTCACAATAGTATTGCCATTGCTCAACTTTTAGATTGTAAAAACTATAATATGATTGTGTAGCTTCCTAATGTGTCAACGTGCACCTCAAATAGCCTACACTCAGTCCGTACGGTATTGCACCTCAGCAAATACTGCATAAATCAGACTCACCTTTTCCTCCTGTTCCTTCGCGTTTATAAATTGTGAATGTTCTTGTGAAAATGGAGAGGGATTCCGTCACGTCGCAGCCGCTCTAGACGCGCTCTTCCCGAATGAGTGAAGGAAACATATTCAGGAGCATCCCTGCACTACAGGCGTCTTTCCCTCCGTTCCGCTCAATCACTGCGCTGCTCGCTCACACTCCGCGCGTCTACAATAAGCCCTATTGAGAAGCCACAGCTGCAGCGAACCTCAGCCAGAGGAGAGCACTGTGGAGAGACTCACAAAGGGACCACAACACTGTCGGCCATCCGTGAAGCATGCCTCGGGAACCTCAGTCCCAACAAACTCTGAGAAAACAGTGGTTACGCGCTACTTATTGTCTCTAATTAAAGTGGCTGACAAAATGGACAAGTCTCTGTTAGTGTGCTACAGGAGCATCGCTCATCAGGGAAACGTTGCACTGAGGGGAGGTGCTGATGTCAGTCAGCGTATCCAAGGTGCCGTGGCAATTGTAGGATTCTAGGGGGGGCACCGAGGGGCCAAAGTGTGCAGAGAGGGACCAAATTAAAACATCGTCAAGATGATTCTGCGTTCCTGAGATGTGGGTTCAAGAACTTACTTTTTTTTCAAGCTATTTAAGAAAGGCAAGTTGACAAACCTAAACTTTATCTAAAATTTGAAACAATGAAAAATATTTTAGTTCTCGTCACCTGTCCAATCACAAAGGTTTAAGATAAAGTATTATTACCATAAAATGTATTCATTGAATTAAAGTATTATTACCATGAAATGAATATATTGGATTAAATCATTTCATTTCACTAAATCATTTCAAACAAGACTCCAAGTGTGTGTGTGTTTGTACAGAGTACATATTATTTTACAGTACAGTACATATTAATTAGCCTTTTAAAAAGGTACTGCCCCAGTGACAGCTTTTGTACTTTTATTTCATGTGATATGCAAGTGTGATTGCGTATGTGAATATGTATATATCTATACCTACCAGAGTCGATCCTCCCTATACGCAAAATAGGCAAGCTGCGTAGGGCCCCCGAAACACCAGGGGGTCCCCTCGCTCTCAAAGATGATTTAATTTTAGTTTAGTTTTTGAATTTGGCCAGCGGTTATGAAACATGAATGATAATTTATTTTAATGTGGTGCGCTGTCGCCCTTTCTACATAAACATCAGTTAAATCATGTAATGTGAATGTCGTACAGTCTTGCTCAAGATTGAAATAACTAGTTGAAAGCGTACCGAGCCACGGAAGAGACACTGTTTCTCAAGCGCTTTCCGCGAGCGCGATTCGAGACGGAGTGAAACACGGACAAATGCATTTCATTCATTCGTTCATAACCACTCATACCCCACTCCACCGCCCCCGCCGACACAGTTTTGCGTAGGGCCCCCATAAGTCTAGGATCAGCACTGATACCTACCATATACCTAGAAAAAGTCCTGTGCCTACTACTTTGGTTTTCTCTACAGCTCACTCGTTTTTGACTATTACATGGTGCTTTGGAAGCATTTCTGAAACCATTTTCCATAAGCGTTGCCTTTATACACAAAACACTGCCTGATAATTGAATGACTGGACAGCCAGGTAACTGCCTTCAGTTTCGGATGCAGCACTGGGATGTTTCACTGTTTTTATCAGTCCGCTTGTCAGTGTTCAATGTGTGCGGTGCTGAGAGGAAGCAGATTTGCCTGGAGTGAAGAGCCGTTTTTTTTTTTTATCGGAGCACTGGCGTTTTATCCCTTGCAATGGAAGCAGAGCTGTATATTTTATTCCTGTAGCGAGGAGGAGCGGGTTGTTAAAATTCAAATCTTTTGCAGTTTTCTGTTGCCTCATGATCGCTCGGACTGGGGTTTCTCTTACCGGTGAGTATGGAGCATGACTGGAAAACATGGAGTGAATCAGGGGCAAAGGGCACTTCGAGCAGAGAGGGGCTCTCCACTCATATACAGTGGGTATTGTAAAGAATCACCCCCTGTAAAATAAATGATGTTAAATTAACAAGGTTCGGAAGGAGCATGATTAGATAATAAACCAATTTGGCACAGGTGGAACTCGCCAATACGTATCACTAGCACAATTCATATATAGGTCTATATACAGCCAACTTACCTCTGTCCCACGACAGTTTTCCGGCATCCCTCCTCCACCCCAACTCCTCTCTATTAAACTATTCTCATCCCATACTAGGGATTGGGGGAGTTCTCTGGGTTAGGGCTATATTCCGAGCCCTCCCTCAGGACAGCACGCCAAAAATGCTTACTATTTACTCAATCCAATTATATGTACGTGCAAACTCGTGAATTACATTTTGTTGCTTTGCAGCCTGAAAAGAAGATGGACACAGTTTTTGTTTTATCCAGCTGTATATACTCATTGCATCTTATAACATCCAAGTGAAAGATATAAAACCAACATGTCAGGAAAAAAGGAACACCCCCTTAATTATGTCAGTATTTGGTTGAACCACCTTTTGCTTTAATTATAGTCTTTAGTCTGTTGGGATCTGTCTCTGTTACTAACTTTGCACATCTAGACTTTGCAATATTTGCCCACTCTTTGCAGAACTGCTCAAGTTCAGTTAAATTTGATGGTGACCGTTTGGACTGCAGTCTTCAATTCATTCCACAGATTTTCAATGGGGTTTAAGTCTGGGCTCCGACTAGGCATATTGTTTGGTGTTGAGGCCAAATAATTTAGTTTTAGTCTCATCTGCCTCAGAATCTTCAAGGTGCGTTTTGGCAATGCTAGTCATGACTGCATGTGGCCTTTCTTGAGGAGTGTCTTTTTTCTTGCAACCCTCCCATACAAGCCACATTTGTGCAGAATTTGTGATGTTGTCCATGTACACAAATGACCACTCTGTCATAAATTCCAGCAGCTGCTTCAGAGTTGCTGTAGGCCTCTTGGTAACCTCTCTGGCCAGTTACCTCCTGGCTCTTTCATCCAGTTTGGAGCAACGTCCTGATCCAGGGAGGGTTTGTGCTGTACCAAATACCTTCCAATAATTCCACTTCTTAATAATAGACTGTGCTTCTTGGCATTGATAAAGCCTTTGAAATGTTTTTGTATCCATCTCCTGACTTGTGCCTATCCACAACTTTACCCCGGAGATCTTTTGGCAGTGCCTTGCCACCCATCGTTAATTGTTTGCTTCAGTTGCACTACCAAGGCCTGAAACACTCCAGGAAAGCTTTTTTCATGCTGAGATAATCAAAATGACCACAGCTGATCACAGTTGAAAGTCAAATGGCTTTGTGTGCCATTGAGAAGGTGATTAGCTACACCTGATTGAGTTGACAAGTCATTTTTAGGAGGGGGTGATCCTTTTTCCTTTAAACTTTTTTCATTTATTTATTTTCTGACATGTTGGTGTTATATCTTTCACTTGGATGTTATAAGTTGCACTGAGTAAATACAGCTGGATAAAACCAAAACTGTGCCGGTCTTCACTTCAAATATGAATTCTGCACAAGAATTACTGTATATTTTCAAGTACAAGATATAATCCAGGGGCTGGAACCATAATAAAATGTATCTGCTCTGTAAGAAAAACATTTGCACATGAGCTGCAGTGTGTATCATAAGAAATATATGCAAATATTTTGTTTGTGGCGTGTGCATCTGCACCCTCACCACTAGCCAGGGTGTATTTGCATGCTCTGTCATGGATCATGGATCAAAAAACTTCAAGCATGCAAGCATGATTTTTATTTTGACGTATTGGATATTACAGGCATAGATTATTACTTGACATTTAATGATACATTAAGTATGGAAGTATGGAATTGGCATGGTTGAATGAAAAGTTACATAAATGCTTAAGTTTACTGTATCTCTTTCTTTCCACCCTCTCTTTGTAAAGAAGGATTTACTGCACTCATTGTAACATTTGAAAATGTTATCTTCCTTCGAATGTAATAGCCTGCCAGGTTTTTTTTCTGACATTGAAAAAGAAAAGAATCAAGTTTGTTTGTTTGTTTGTTTTAAAGTGTGCTTGTGTCTTTCATCCTTTCCAGTATAAGTCACATAGCTGTAAGGCTCTTCTGGCTCAATCCCTCTGTGACCTAAAACAAACAATAGAAACTTTATATTGAAGAGAGTCCTCTAATCCAGCCATGAGCATTACTTTATGAAAAAGTTAATTAACTGTTGCTGGCTTATGTCACCGTCAATAGACCTATGCTTTCAACAACAGTGCTGAGCCAGTCAAAACTACACAAATGCAACAACTCCTCAATTACATTGGGACACTCTGCGTTGTCACATTGCCCTGGATTAACCAACATGGGCGACAGCTAGAGCCCTGAGCTTCACTGAGCTACTCTGAGTCCAATAATCTTCAAGGTGCGTTTTGGCAATGCTAGTCATGACTGCATGTGGCCTTTCTTGAGGAGTGTCTTTTTTCTTGCAACCCTCCCATACAAGCCACATTTGTGCAGAATTTGTGATGTTGTCCATGTACACAAATGACCACTCTGTCATAAATTCCAGCAGCTGCTTCAGAGTTGCTGTAGGCCTCTTGGTAACCTCTCTGGCCAGTTACCTCCTGGCTCTTTCATCCAGTTTGGAGCAACGTCCTGATCCAGGGAGGGTTTGTGCTGTACCAAATACCTTCCAATAATTCCACTTCTTAATAATAGACTGTGCTTCTTGGCATTGATAAAGCCTTTGAAATGTTTTTGTATCCATCTCCTGACTTGTGCCTATCCACAACTTTACCCCGGAGATCTTTTGGCAGTGCCTTGCCACCCATCGTTAATTGTTTGCTTCAGTTGCACTACCAAGGCCTGAAACACTCCAGGAAAGCTTTTTTCATGCTGAGATAATCAAAATGACCACAGCTGATCACAGTTGAAAGTCAAATGGCTTTGTGTGCCATTGAGAAGGTGATTAGCTACACCTGATTGAGTTGACAAGTCATTTTTAGGAGGGGGTGATCCTTTTTCCTTTAAACTTTTTTCATTTATTTATTTTCTGACATGTTGGTGTTATATCTTTCACTTGGATGTTATAAGTTGCACTGAGTAAATACAGCTGGATAAAACCAAAACTGTGCCGGTCTTCACTTCAAATATGAATTCTGCACAAGAATTACTGTATATTTTCAAGTACAAGATATAATCCAGGGGCTGGAACCATAATAAAATGTATCTGCTCTGTAAGAAAAACATTTGCACATGAGCTGCAGTGTGTATCATAAGAAATATATGCAAATATTTTGTTTGTGGCGTGTGCATCTGCACCCTCACCAC